CAACATACATAAAAACAAACTATTAGATAACAACTGTCATATTCTTTAGAAAAATGGTAGATTGAACCTGGTTGTGTTGCTACCCGAATCTCGCACTTAATTAATGGCAATATTGAAAATATCGGTAAACTGACAACACTACATAACAAGAATACAGTACAAATGAATGAAAGAATACTCAGGACAGAGAAATACATAAGTAAATGATAAAACAGTACATTTCGACATGTTAATCACAGAATAACAACGAATGCCTAAAGTTGATTTACGACATTACTCAAACACAGCATAATAAAATTCCGAACTGTACGTCACACGATAGTAACAACGCCACAAAAAAGTGACGTCACAGGTAATTTTTAAAGTATAATCTAAATGTATCAGTAGTAACATTCTTTTTAAGCTATATCTTTCTCAAAGTTGTCTATATCCACCAGCGAGTTGGGAAATCTATGTTTTGTTGTTTTAAACATGTTCTACCTTTGAGTTAACATTCATCTACGAGTTTTCAGGGTTTGCTTCATAATCGTGGAAATGCATACAAATGCTTCTCATAGAGGAGCATTAAATAGAATGAAACTAAACATGACACGAATGTTCATTATGAGGTGTTGATGAAGACCGAATTACATGTATCTTCATAGATCGAGATATATTATAAACTGCAAAAAATATCAAAAAAGAAGCTACACATAAGTCAACATGAGCAAAATTTTTAATGACATCTAATTGGAATTATTGTCCTTATACCGCCATTTTCTACAATTTCAAGGAATAAACTCATCATAGATACCAGGATAGAAATTTCATATTTGCGCCAGACGCGCGTTTCGTCTACAAAAGACTCATCAGTGACGCTCGAATAAACAAATGTTAAAAAGGCCAAATAAAGTACGAAGTTGAAGAGCATTGAATGTATTGGTAATGTCTGTAAACTTTACAAAAAGTCTTCTGCTTTTGATTAAATTATTGGGCTAATATTAAACCAAAGTTGGCCTCGATTATTATTAGGCTATCTGTTATAATTTCAATCTATTTTAACATGATTTCCAAAACCGACGTAGAATTAAGTGAGCGAATTCCAAAAACAAGTTGGTGCCCAATAATAATATGGGCTAATACTTTTATGTTCGTATTTGACCGGTCTAAAAAGCCGTATTAATATCGATTAGTTACGTCAGCAGTATATTATATGCCCATTATAACGTAACATGTCATTTTAATCATATTATTTATTATATACATTATCATATTTGAATACAGTTTAACATTAAACATCATGTACACCTTAGTAGTATAGGTATAACTAAAACAAAAATAGATATTAAAAGAACAAGAAACTATAAATTGTGGATAAGAAAATGTTTTTGTTATTAACATTTGTAAAAATTGATAACACATATGTAGGACTCGGAGGTGCGATGGGGACGCTGAAGTGCGATGGTCACGCTGAAGTGCCATGGTCTACGCCGAAGTGCGATGGTCTATTCGCTGATGTGAAGTGGTCTATATGACGCGTGATAGCTACTTTATCTACAGATGTGCAATTATTATAAGCAGTATAGTTGGTATATGGATAAGCATTCATTATTGTCTATATATGTCATTTGTTATTATTATACTTCACGTTAAAATGCCATATTTTGATTGGCTAGTACGAGGGTGTTAATTTACTCTATTATCCTTCATGGAGACGCTTGATCAAGTGTGCGCTTTATTAAATACGACTCTATCCTATGGCAAATACTCTATTACCCTTCACGGATACGCTTGATCCAGTGTGCGCTTTATTAAATACGACTCTATCCTATGGCAAATACTATATTACCCTTCACGGAGACGCTTGATCAAGTGTGCGCTTTATTAAATACGGATGGTTGTTATGTACAAGACGTCATAGTTTATTATTTTGAATTTGAAATTAATTGACAGTAATAACAGAACCTTCAATATAATAAATTAAATAACACATATATAAGAGGGTGATAGAGCAGATTGTTATCCCTCGAAAAGACATTGTCAACCTTGGCTTCACCTCAGTTGACAATGTTTTCTCGGGGTGACAATCTGCTCTATCACCCACTCAGCTATGTGTTATTCATATATAGTTGCATACAAAATGAACGATAGTCCTCTTTGATTTTCTGCATGTGGACATAATTCTGAGATAACATTTATCTTTACTTTGTTTCTCTCATGAGATCCTCGTTTACCGTTATATTAGGAGAGTCTGTGGACCCGAATGTATTTAGAGAATGCCACGTTCCATCGTACGTAACTTGAAAAAAACTTTCGAAGATTTCGAACAAAAATCCGCTACTACAGAAGGTTTACTTTTCCCTTTCCCCCTATCACACCCCAATTTACCGAAGTATTAAAGGTGTATAAGCCCCTTATTAACTTTAAAACCCGAAAAACTGCTTCTAACAAACAAATTGACTTCGAAATAAAAAGCATTGAAAATATAGTTTATGTAGTCCATCGCACTTCAGCGTTACCACCATCGCACTTCGGCGTGGCTATCAACAAGATAGCGTCACAATGCCACCATCGCACTTCAGCGTCAAACCATCGCACATCAGCGTGACTATCGCGATTCGGAGCACCATCGCGGTTCAGAGTCCTACACATATAAAGTTTAAGACAAACAGATGAAAAGATGTAAAGTTCACTTCAATTTATCAGATACATACGATGCATTATCAAGTAACTCATTTAAACGTGAAACGTAAACTTTGCATGGTTTTTCTTCTCTTTTTTTTAATATTTTACTGTGGTTGTAGTGAACACAAAATCTAGAATTGGTGCAGAGTAATACACCTGGTGAATATCAATCCCCCAATTTCGACAGCATTAGAGGAATCATAGCTAATGTTTTGTCGGAAATTGTGTTGTTTTTCATATTTATAGATTTTGTGAAAGTCGCTTTTAACAAGAAAGTATTTATGACGATAACATTTTTTTTAGATATAGCAAGGACTCCATTAAGTATTAAAAACTGTTTCAATAATATTAAGTGAAATGGAATATTTGGAATACGTCTTAAAATCTTTTTAAAATCATCGAATGATAATAGGTACCTTCGAAAGACATGCATTAACTGTTGTCAAGTTTTGTATTGAATATAATCTTCATTTTTTTTAATTAATTATTATGCATAAACATAACGAATTTCTTAATATGATTTAAAGATGTTTTTTATTGCAGGGTTTATAAGAAAATTTAAAAAAGATTCTGCAAATAATACACACTACTTTCGAGTTTGTTTTTTTTTTGATGATGGAATAGCAACATATTGAAAACAGGATAACAAAAGTTATTACAAAATTATGTTACATCAGTTGTACAGCTGTACATATATCGACCATAACAAAGTGAAATCATTGATTGCTTAACAGAAACTCCTACATTTATCTCATTAGCAACAGTGTAGCTATCAAAATATACAGGACATCGAAAAAAAAAACCTTGTCCGAAACTGCGCAACAGGTCTCGAGCATTATTCAAAAAACACATTTAAACAGTAATTAATTAAAATAATGCTGACAACTGGACACTAAATGCGCGACATCAAATATTGAAATTATTACAGGTATCACTAAATATGTAAAATCATTGAATACTAGTCTGGTTCAATTTATGTTACTAATAAATCATGTCTTTTAAAATATTTCACTATGTTTGTTTATACTATTATTAGCACGGTAAATTCATAAAATTATAGTGTGTTGTAGGTCATGTAGTTAGTGTGAATAGTCTCCTTTTTTATCAATGATAATTTGTAAAGAATAAATCATTATAGGTCGAAGTATGGCCTTCAATACAGAGCCTATACTCACACCGAACAGCAAGCTACAAACAAGGCCCAAAATATGACTAGTGTTAAACCATTCAAACAGGAAAATCCACGGTGCAATCTACATACAAAACTAGAAACGAGAAACACTTATGAACCACATCAACAAACGACAACTTCTATACTACAGGTTCCTAATTTATGACAGGTGCAAACAAATGCGGCGTGTTTAGACGTAATAACAGGTGTCAACCTTCATTCTACCCTGAATGTAATACCACAACATAGAAAGACACAGTATAAGTTATCCATTAAAATGACTCAATCAAAAGACTTGTCAACTAAAACAAGTTAACATACACTGAATGAATAAATATAAGAAGTGTCTATGTATTTGTTTATCCAGCGTTCATGTGTGTTGTTGCGAAGTTTTATTTGTAATACTGATTGGATATTGTTTTGTGTATTATCGTTTGAAGTTGGGATTATGTTTGTTATTTTCTATTCGTATGTAAAAGTAAAGATAAATAGTCATCCTGTTCATTTGTATGATTTTAGTTTAATGCAACTATGTGCACGGGATTTATTTGTTTTACACAGTTTTTTTTTTTTGAAGAAAAGCCGACATTGTTAGATTATGCAGTCAGTTGCACAATTACTAACACAATTCTATATTAATATTCTTGTAATTTTCATACAAAACATCAAATAACATAATTATACACCAAATTTTAATTTATATCCTATTTATAGAAATGTACATGTGACGTTACTTTTTGTGGCGTTGATACATTCGTGTGACAGACACACCGTTCGTAATTCTATTACGCTGTTTTTATGCGCTGTCTTAAATTATTTTTAGTTATTCGTTGTTATTCTGTGGTCAACATGTCGAAATGTACTATAATCCTATTTATTTATGTATTTCTCTGTCTTGAGTGCTCTTGTATTTATTTGTACTGTATTCCTGTCATGTAATGTTGTTATTTTGAAGGTATATTTAACCCACATGTGTTTCTTAAAATGTCCTGTACCAAGTCAGGAATATGGCAGTTGTTATCTATTAGTTCGTATCTATGATTGTTGTATTGTCGTTTGTTTTTGTTGCACTTCCGTGTTCTGTTGTTTCGTTGTTTCCCTCGGTTTTAGTTTGTTACCCTGATTTGTTTTCTCTCAGTCGGTTTATGACTTTTGAACAGCGATATACTACTGTTGCCTTTATTTGATCTATGACACAATGTTAATACAATATAAATAAAAAAGGGGAAGATGTAAAACAATATCAGAAAGACAAATATATCCTTGGACAAAATGCCGTTTGGTAAAAGAGCATACACAGATAAGTATAATAACTATGTTGTATTGTGTACATGGAGTATGGAAATATCTTTTACAAAAAAATTATGTGTTTGTTCATAGTATGAGAACAGAAGTGAAAACTTATTGTCATACTAAATACTTATCAATGGTGGTATATATTAAAAAAAAGTGAGACGAGATATAACACAAATAAATAATAATTGAATAAACAAAAATGCATTACAAATTGTATCAACAGTTCAAATTAACGTGATATTACGAATTGAGAGTACCTGCAGTTACTGAAGCTAGTTAAAAGCCAAACACATTTAATTATAAAATATCTTGCGTCAGAGACTAAAATTTATTAAAACATATCCCGGGTTAACCTACCAACTAAGACTTATTTAAGTGTATGTACTACCATAAGCAACACAACAGTTGTCACATGTGGATCAGGATCTTCCAGAGATCAGCCCCAGATTTTGTGGGGTTTGTGTGGCTCAGTCTTTAATTTTATATGTTTGTTTAAATTGTGCGTTTACTGTTGTTTGTCTATTGATCTTTTTCTTTAATTAGCCATTGTGTTGTTGGGTTGTGATAACAGAATTATTGTTCCACAGGTGTCTTTCGCCTCTCTTCTTCAATTAAAATGCCAATATACATTTAGTTAGTCCTTATTGTTCACGGCAACAGATATGTTTACAAAGGCAATAAATAGTAGAAGGAAAGAAATATAACAGTTTAGAAGGTATAAAAGAATACGATAGTATTAGACATTATTTGAGGACTGTTATGTAAAAACAGTCTAATATGCAGTCTTATCCATATGTTATCTGGTATAAATCAGTATATTGAAAGAACTCATAAGACAATGCAAAGACAAAGAAGTTTATATTGAAATTTTGAATAATTTATTCGAAGTTATGCATAAAATTTGTGCCGAAATCTTTCTTAAGTTTGTGTTGCTTCATCTTGGCTTTATCAAAATATGATTGAAAATGTTATGGTTGTACTTAAAATTCCTCGTAGGTAATTAAGATAGCCTTTTTAACATATGTTTGTACGTTTTTCAACTAGAAGACATTTTTTTGGATTTTCTTGTTTGCCTTAAAAGTCAAATGATACGAACATGGTTGCTCTTTGGTTGATAATTCTAAACAGATACTACAATAATCATTCGAGGTAAACTGAACGACTGAAATCAAAACCAACAATATATTGTTAAGTTATTTAGTGCATTAAATAGAAAGATTGATAGTAGTTTACTGTTCTTCAATCACCATCACCTTATAGCCATTCAAATATTATATTACTGGAAGAAATTCAACAATACATTCCTTTTTGAATTTTACTAAAATGTTGTTAATGTATTAAAACAAAGAAGGCTCAATTTCTGTGTCATTTGGTCTCTTGTGGAGAGTCTCATTGGCATTCATGCCACATCTTCTTTTTATATCAAGTACATATGAAATTCTATAAGCACATGCGATAGCTATAAAAACATTTAAAAAAAAACACTCTAATCATTTGCCAACCAAAATGAATTAAACATGGTTATAAGTTATATTAATTGAAATAAAATACACTACATGTTTATTGATATAATCTGTACATTCATATATTTAATTCGGAATTGATGAATACATGTGTGTTTCATCATCTAACAACATATATTTTTCTTATATAGAAATTAGAATAAAAAAAAAGAAAATGGGGTATGATTGCTAATATGACAACTCTCCACAAATGACACATAAATGCAGCTGTGTCAAAAACCACGGCTTTTTAATAATCATTACATTTTGCTTTGTTTACCTACTGGTTCCAAGATACAATCTTCTTTCTTTTATCTCGTAGACAAAAATGTAGAGACATATCTTGGGAATGTTATCAATATACATTCACACGAATAGCGGTCGAATGGAAATCTGTGGAAGACCAAGAGTGAAGTAAGGGTTTTACAGGATTTTAGTATGATTTTAAACTCTAAGAAGTTCGGACCATAAAATATTAAAAATTTGCCTTTCTTTTTGACCTTCGAATAGAAGCGCATATTTTTTTATGAAACTTCTTATTAACAATTGTACTTTTTTAGCCATAAAAGGAGTTACTATGGGAAATTGCATTGTTTATATTTGCAAAATTGCAACCTATATAAATAAATAAAAAGAGAAACTGTAGAACTTTATCAACTCTGGTTCATTTTCAGAGTCAAAGAAATTAACTCAAATATATAGATAAATGGCTGATATATGGACTATATATAAAGTTTTATAAATATTGCATGAAGATTGATAAAAACCTGGGCTTTGGCTATGTTGACTCAGTATAAACTCACAGTAAACAATAACTGTGCTTTGAATGTATGAAAAAACAGATTCCATCACTCAGCTCTATAAATTAAACTTTTAGAGAATTCGTATATCAGACTGGTTCATTCATATATGCATGATATACACGTTTTGCAAATATGGTTTTGTTTAAAAACTTTTAGTCATATATTAGCCACATTATGTAAGGTATATAAAAAGAGAAAAAAAAAGGATATTTTGCAAGAGTTTTCTATTTAGATAAATGTAAGTATAGGTTTCACAAGCCACGCCTCTTGAAAGATATGTGATATTCATAGATATTTGTTTTTTCTACTTGTTCCCAGATATGATCTCTATATTATATCTCGTAAAGACATGACTTGATAATGTTACTAGTATAGATTATCATAAATTGAGATATGTGGATGACCCAAAAGTAAAGGTAGTGCAGAATTTTAGTATAAGTTTCAACTCTAAGACGTACGGGGGCATATAATAAATGTAGAAAATATTCCGCACTTTAAAAAAAAATAGAAATGCATATGAGCTTTTCCGTCTAGGAATTTGGTTTACGAAACTTCGTAATAAAAGTAGTACATTTTAGCCGTAAAAGAAGATCTTATGGGAAATGACATTATCTACATTTATATAATTGCAACCTATAACAACTTTTAAATAACCCAACCCCAAATATTATGTTCTATGTGAAAATTGTGTATAGACAGTGGCTTCTACTATGTTTTGTTAATTATATTCCTGTAATAGGGTATGTTTTTCAGTTGTATAGTTGCCCGGAAAGTCTACAACTACAACAGGTTGTCGTAGTGCAAGCTGTCGTATCTCTTTTTTCAAAGATTGATGCATTTTGTTCATTTCCTCGTGTAAATCATCAATGTCATGGTAGGTGTTGATTGCATCTTTTTCTCCGGGTATTTCTCTGAAAAGATTTATGTAATTGTAGAAGAGGAAAGAAATGTAATGTTGTTTGTAATAGGACAGGAAAATCGAATAAAATATCCACAGAAAAGTGTGGTATGTTAAATGAATATTCATAATCTAAGAAATGATGGTATGATAAGAGTCAATTTCATTTTCTCATTCTTTTTAAATACGGAGTAACAGACAACCGTGATCATATTACAAATTACTTCAAGTGTGATTTTATCAACTAAAATTAATCATTGATAAGGTAATGTTTCGTACTGTCACATTATATCACATGTATTCTATGCTTTTGATATCAGCAACATTAATAAATTGCATTCAATTTGATAAAAACACCTTTTAATTTATTTTTTTTTTGTATAGTGCAACATCTTCACGAAACAATCGGAATAATATAAGGTATGTAATCCCTAAGTTATGTTCTTACAAAATCCTATAACAAATATACCCATTGAACTGAAATATGGTTGGGTTTTACAGGAAATTTGAACATGCTGATCTTTTAATCTCTTGTATTTTCCATTCCAACAGTGATATCAAACGAACTTTTAAAATTCGGAAATATTTCATTTTTTCATATCCATGAGAAATCAATGTTAAAGCTAGACAGTTGTGTGCGTTGTTTGTTGTTTCCTCTGATATCACCAAAAACAGAAAACTTGAAGCGATGCACACAGGTCATTGTACACAAAACTGAAGATGAAGCAACAACACGATCATCAAAACAAATTGCATTCACATTACATAGGTACTCTCCAACAGTCAACAGCTCCTAATGTACAAGTGATATCCGGTTTGCCACTCTTAATAAGGAAATATGACTTTGGTAAAACAGCATCCAACAGTGGGAGAAGTGGGCATAATTGTGCGAATTTCACAACCCTTAACCTTAACCGAATGTGACTTACATGTATGTTTATATGTTTAAGTCATACATGATATTAAAAGATTATTGGTTAGAATGAGCAATATGCCTATTTCCTTAATTCTGTGGACATTTAACCTGGTCCGGACCAATTTTATAAAAAAAATATAATCAACGTGTGGTTGCCGAGGATGTCAGAAGTTGATTGTATAAGTCATAACCTTCGCCAGCTCACTAAATGAATCAAAGTGTGTTTACAGGTGTTAATGAAATTGACCACCTAGTGGAATGTGAAAGGCACTCAAAGTGGATTTTCGTTTTTCAAATACAAAAACAGATTCTTACATAGTAACTCGTGGACTATCGGATTTATCCAATCTCGATATCTAAATTAATAATTATAAAACCATCGCCGAGGCTCGGACTTTAAAATTCGATCATTTAATTATCTCCATTGGATAAATCCGATAATCCACTTGTACCAATGTAGCATTATATATTTATATGGTTCATCTTAAATCTAAAGACAAGATGATGTGTGTAGTCTTTAAATGAAAACACATATCCATATGAGACATCCTGACTTAGATTGAAGCTAATACGATACAGTCTTCAACTATCAATACCCTCCAAACACCATTGCTTTAGATTTATAAGACCCCGACATTATTACATGCAAAACAATTCAAAGGAGAGAGAAAACAGTACAATGAATAATGATAAACCAGAAGAAAAAAAACTAGGAGACAACAACCATCGACAAACGTTAATTTACAGTCGTACATAGGACGATCACACATATAATGTGGTTAGGTTAAACATGATTTCGAGAGCTCAACCAACCAAACCCCGTGCAGTGTCGTCACAACAAAAATTAGGAACATACTGTTAGCAATAATTCAACAACGGTGTGGCTCAGAATTAAGACATAAATCACAACAACAAAAAAACGAGCTTAATGACACTTAATAGCGATTTATGAGGATCCTTAGCTATGAAGATTTGTCTCGTCAGTCACATGTCAAGGAATTGCAAAGTAATAGGACATTGGTTATATGATTGATTCTATTATACTTAAGGCCTATAGCCAGTCTTAAATTTGAATCTTCATTAAAATGGTTTACAGTATTTCTGTATTTTTTAACGAAACGAAACATATTATAAAAGATAAATAATACTGTTAGATATGTGTTTCATTTTTTTATAATACCTTTCATCCAACACCATGTTCCTTGTTTCATATCTGCTTCGAGCATATGTCGGTGCATTTAGATATCGTTCCAAAGCAATGCTTTCAACTCTATTCAGTTTCTCAACGTCATCGGGTTCAAGTCTTAATGCTACAAAACCAATGTTAAAACAATATTGACTTTCTTCATACAATCATGCACCAAGGGGTAACTGTATAAATTTACATGTTAACAGCTACATTAAGTTGATGTACACACAGTTTTACTATAATTTTTCAATGATAAAACAGTTAAATTAAAACGAAAACAGATGTTTATGAATCACAACATATCCCTATCTAGAATTCATCTTTTCAATGAATAGGCAGACTATTGCAGCATAAAATAATACACTTTACATGTTTACATTTGATATTGTGAACCTGCCTGTTTTATATATCTATAATTGTTTTGATTATTAATAAATCATTCTTTAAGTATGTCGATATTTATTCTATTTATTTAAAAGATACAGTTTTGTTAATAGTTGAAATCCTAGATATACTATAACATTCACAAGTGAACAATTCACCATTCTCAGTTTCCGATTGTCGCATACAAATTTGGTGAATTTGGTATAACCATTAGTTATTTATTACAAATTGTAATTGAAAAAAGTACTTTAAAACTTGTATCTTCGGAATGGTTGTGAGTTAAGCTATTTTGTAACACAAGACATACACATTTTCATTTCATGTAAAGTTGGAAAGACCATCAATTGTGTTCTGAACAATTGGTCTTTTTGTGTCATTTCGTTTACTTCTTTATGTTGAATTGCGCTAGTATAAGATTTAGAGAAAAAAATTATCATTAGATATACAAAACAGTTCTTATTGCACTCTGTCTGATTCTAATAGAATATTTTCCCAAACTGACAGTATAGAGCACATTAATTATCTGCTTCTGTCGGATTGTTGTCTCTTTGACGCATTCCCCATTTCCATTCTGAATTTCAATCATATTTTTGAACTAGCTGTTCTTCCTTTCCTGGTTTCGTTCAAAGGAGCATGATGATTAAAAAGAAGCTATCGGACCAAAGGTTCTACGTTGTATCAAGTATTTACTACTGTTTGTAAAATTCTACCTAAATATTTATAATGTCCAAGCTTGACCATGTCAAGCAAATACAAATACGGCCAGTTGTTTTTTTTTTTTTTTTTTGATTATGAGACGCAAATGAATATACAAGCAAATATAGCGAAGTCCAATACAAATGCAAACAATGATTCAGAATATCAACAAGCATGAGGTTATGTCCAAGAAAATTATACCGAGATTGTTATTTATACAGCATTTACATGACAAAAACATTTTTTTGTTTTTAAATATTTACCAAAGTCGCTCTTATACTGAAGTTTCCGTATTTTGTAATAACAAAATACAATGATTCGACATAAGTGTATTACTATTGGTATTGGAAACATTGGCATGTCATAGTATTCATACACCAATGAATATCTGTGGAACCTCCAAATAATTTCGGAATTGTCTTGTACTTTTTGGAATGTATACCTGTAGTAATCAAATATGATGGAACATATTAAAATTTAAAAAGTCTGTACTGTTCAGGTAGAAACTTTTTATTTAACAAATAGTTATTCCGGAAAAAAAATGTCTTCTCGTGTCACCAACAATGCGATCACATCAACATGATCAAATAATATTTAAAGGGTCCGATAATAACTAGACTAAGTGTAAAACCATTCAAACAGGCAAACCAACGGTCTAAGACACGTTTTCAATAAAATGTTATTGTTATTCGAAAAGTGAAATTAAAGTCACACATTATACAAAAAAGAACTACATGTAGTTTTTTCTTTGGTTGGTTCAACTGCATCGTCTATTTCACAAACTAGGGAAGTAACTTATAGCTCATGTTTTACACAGTTTATTATATCTAGTGTTTTGGTATGAAACAGTACGTACAAAACTAAAACTGCTGTTTATCCAAAAATGATAGACGTCATACATTGGTTAACTTCGGCATATTAAATATTAATACTTCTATTGCCAGGGAAGTAGTTGTTACACAAAATTTAGATTGATTGCATATATATCGTATTAAGTCAATGACACATTGTGTAACGAATTTATTTTACCGACTTTATATCTATAAGAACATGGCCATTTTTTGTCACCATATTGAATACAATCGATGTGCAGTCATATTATAAGAAAACAAGAAAAAAAAAACTCTGAGGCGCAGATGGGAAAATGAATCAGCTGAAATAAAATCTATGTTCAGAATAATATAACATTAGTTAAGCTGACATTGACGAATAGTTTTGACTGACCAAAACGATAAAATCGCTATATTTTGGGCAAAGACAGAATGCATTCATATTGTATATCTTGTCTTTTGGGTAATTTCATCATGTTTAGATTGTTTTTTATAAACTGCAATATTCAGTTAATATTGCCCAAGCAACCACTAAATTTGAATTTGAATTGAAGCTATAGTGTTCTATTCTACAGGATTCATCAAATGTAATAAGGAAAATATAACATGACAAGACCAAAAAGGGCATTTTTGTTAATGTACGCAAATTAAGGAATGTTCTTTATTTAGTGAACTTTGGCGTTGGTGTAACGGATTATGCATCGTACATATTTTGACGACAAGGAAAAAGGTTTGTATAGATGTTGTGCTATTTAGATAAATATTATATTGCTGTACATTGTATGATAGGTAATTGATTTAACCGCGTTAATAAAGAGAGTTTTGAAAACACTGACACTCTCGTATGATGGTTTACACAACGTAACAAATCATCAAATGATACTTTATTTTTTTGTATATCATTTTTCTTTTGACATGGCATTGTCAATTAGCTTTTGGGATTTTTCAACTTTATATAATAATACTAACATAGAAGCACGGTCTCCAGATTTAGCCCACCATTCTTAACTGAATGTAATGACTGTACCAAGTCAAGAATATGAAAGTTGTCTTCCATTCGTTTGATATGTTTGATCTTTTGATTTTAAAGGGACTTTCCGTATTTAATTTACCTTGGAGCTCGGGATTTTTGCTATTTTACTTTTATCCTATAAATGACAGTTCGAATCAAGAAAAGACAAAAATAAAATACGTCACACTGCATTCTTTGCAAAGATTTATCCATAGAATACTTACGAAAACATAGCAATAAGAATATTGACTAAAAGTATATTTGCCAAAACAAGATATACTGCCAACATTGGTGAATTAAATTGGTTGGTCTGTGCGCATCGCAACATTGTACCATTCGTGTATAACAATGGATTATGTGTACATTCCGATGGTTCTGTTCCTGTGTAATTAAGAATAAGTTTAACTATCGATAAGAACAATTAACAATATAGTTAAAGATTTATGAGAAAAGGGTCAATGAAATACATGAACTCGAAATAACAAGATGTGAAATATTGTAAAACTGAATACTAGCCGCTTGACTGATCCAATAGTGGTCAATCCAACACTAGCTTCATGCACTATCAAAATAGATTCCTGTTTTTCAGGATTTCATATGTATTTGTTAGTCTATAATCTCCTTTTCCCAACTGACAGTAATGTTATAACATATTATACTGATCTGTTAACATAGTTTAAATGGCTTTCTTTGTCAGAGCACAGACATCTTGAATTGGAACCAATGACAAAAACATACATTATCAGCCTTGGTATTATCGATTTAAACAAAATTTGTTAACAACTCAATGTCAACTAAATATTTTCCTAGTTTAATTGTATAGTGTACACTATATGTAGTCACAGGATAATGTTTCAGTAAAGTGATTACTTCTAAAAGAACTAATTTATCTCCTTCAATTTGAACATTGTCTGTCACAATTTAGAAACATTCGTCACTTTTTGTTTTGCTTTTGACACATAGAAAGCATTTGTTTTTGTCATCTCTTTAATGACTTTGATAGACTGTTCTAGAGCTTAACAGAGGGGTGGACGAATAGGAAAGACTTGTTGAAGTGTAATAGTATTATAGCTAATTATATACATTTTATACAGATAGCCATAGAGAGTCATTCGTGAAGATTAAAAATTCAATATCTTCCTTTTCTATACTAATTCTACAGATGGGTGCGGTTCTAACCTGTACACAAGATAACCTAAAGCAGTCCTTACGACTGCTCTATAGGTTAACTTTGGAAAATTTTAGCAGACCTGTAAGTTAACTTTATCCCTAGCAGACCAGACCTCGTGTATGCTTTAATAGGACTGCTGCAGACCAGACCTAAGGACAAGTTAGCTAGAGCAGACCTGTTCCCAGGACAGGTCAGCTCGACCAGACCAGAACTGTGGACAGGTCTGCTTGACCAGACCAGACCTGAGGACAGGACTGCTTGACCGGACCAGATCAGACCTGTAGACAGGTCTGCTTGACCAGTCCAGACCTGTGGACAGGTCTGCTTGACCAGACCAGACCTGTGGACAGGTCTGCTTGACCAAACCAGACCAGTGGACAGGTCTGCTTGACCAGACCAGACCTGTGGACAGGTCTGCTTGACCAGACCAGACCTGTGGACAGATCTGCTTGACCGGACCAGGCCAGACCTGTGGACAAGTTTGGTATTTAACAGAGCAGTCTTGTCAGTTATGGGGACAGGTCTGCTTTTTATCGGTCCTATGGATATTCTTTACCACGTTGATACATACAATAAAAGCAGTCCTGTTTACAAGTTAACTTTGGATCATGTTCACTTTATTTTGGAAGAGCAGACCAGACCAAAGTTAACTTGGGATCAAGTTAACTTTATCTTAGAGGAGCAGACCAGACCAAAGTTAACTTTGGATGATGTTAACTTTATCATGGACCAAACCAAAGTTAACTTTTATAAGAACAGGTCTGGTTTGACTTTTGATAGCAGACCTGGTCATAAGTTAACTTGTGTGTAGGACTGTTTGTGGCAAAGTTAACTTCGTCCAAAGTTAACTTCAATTCTGGACATGGACCTGTCCTGAAGTTAACTTTTCGGGCAATCATTAAATAGTCATAGGACCAAGTCTGCTTTTTAAGTTAACACAAATTCTGTCCTAGGACCGGTCACATTAGTCATAAAACCGGCCCTAAGTTAACTTTAACCAGTCATAAAGTCTGCTTATTAAGTTAACTAGCTGTACAGGTTAGGACTGCACCCATCTGAATGTAGGTAGAATACAAGTTTTTGACATTTCAGAACACTTGCTAATTTCCAGGTTTTGTTTCAATTTTGAATCAAAAGTTGAAAAAAGATATTTCATTGCAATGTTTAAGTGAACTGTAAATTTTAATCACGATACAATCATATTGATGAATACACACCCTAAGGGGAGAGGCTATGAATACTAACAGGAATTAAAAGGCTGATTATTGTTATATAAACCAATCTGTGTTTTAACCTGAATAATAACTTTATAATTAGTGATGTACACATCAATCATATGCTAAAAATTAGGATAAATGTTTTCTATGTGTCAAAAGCATGTTTGCGCTTGTCCAAAGTCGGGAGCCTCTGGCCTTTAGTCTTGTATGTTTTTTTTTTCAATTTTATTTCATTTATAAGTTTTGAAGTTTAGTATGACTTTCATTTTGACTGAACTAGTACACATTTTTAAAGGGGTCAGCTGAGACCCACTACAGGATGCACGATTATATCGCCGCGTTCAAGACCCAAGTAATAATAAAAAAATGTTTAAAAGTAATTGTCTTTATATAGAATTGTAAATTTTTTATATTAGTTATATATATATTTTATAAAATTGAGTTCTTTGACTTTAATGTCTTGCATTTGTGATTCATCACTGAATCCTCTTTAAAATGCAGGCCAGTATTTCATATTACCCAGTAGTGCCCAGTATTACCCATTTAAACCTAGGTTTTCCAAGCATTTCCCACTTAGCAACACTCATAAAACCCGGGTTTTTGCCAACCCTAATTATTTTTTATGAAAAAAAAATGACCAACTCTTTCGATTGGTCTTTTAGTTTGGAATTGAGAATACTTGTGTGAAGTGTAGGTAAGTCAAATGTTTTAATTTTATTGCAAGATGAAAGAGACTTTGATTTTGATAGTATCTAAATCTAATTCGTGCATCCTCTAGAATAGGTAGTTTTACAATACATTTAGATATTCTGTACGTGTACGATGATTATGTGCATTCATTTGAACTAGAAAATTGAGAATGGAAATGGCGAATATTTCAAAGGGACAACTACCCGACCAAAGAGCTGACAACTGTCATAGGCCACCAATGGGTCTTGAACGCGGCGATATAATCGTGCATCCTGTAGTGGGTATCAGCTGACCCCTTTAAAAATGTGTACTAGTTCAGTGAAAATGAAAGTCATACTAAACTACAAAACTTATAAATGAACTAAAATTGAAAAAAAAACATACAAGGCTAAAGGCCAGAGGCTCCTGACTTTGGACAAGCGCAAACATGCAGCGGAGTTAAACATGCTATGTGAGCTCTCAGCCCTCCCATTTATCTCTAGGTAATGTAGAATAAAGAAACACACATCAAATTAACTCAATTTAAAAGAAGTCCGAGTCCAATGTCAGAATAGCTAACAAAAGAAAGTTAACAAAATTACAATGATATATAACAAAGGACCACTAGCAGTTACTGACATGCAGTCTGAGGAAACCCTTGGCAACATCCTTGGATCTAAAATGTTTGGCCAACAATAGCTGCCAGTTATGTTATCAAATCCCTGGACACACCGTTTGTAGGTAGGATTTGAAATTAAAGCCGTTTGAATATATTTAGTTGTATGTATTTCCTTAGCTCTATGTCATACTTAATGAGAGAATGTCCTATTTAATAGTGTTGCATACATGTACTCCCGATGGTTTACATAAAAAACATAAAATGCTGGTTCTAAAAAAAAACAAAATGACTTTTACGTCCAAATGTGAACATACAAAACATATAGTGTATGTTATCTATCGCCCTTTTGTGTATTCATGGACATCCGCGTAGCTACCAACTAAGTAGCGTCAAGATGTCGCCTTCGCACTATAACGTGGTAAGAAAGTATGCAACCATTGCACTTCAGCGTAACCGTCACGGTACAGAGTACCATCGATCGCTGTTTAGTGTTATACAAATGTAAACAAGAAACAGAGGAAATCTTTTTCAATATTGAAAGAGTTAACGCGAAAAACCGTTAACAAAATATTACCTTCAATGCGATCTAAAAATAATTCACCATACAACTGCCAATATGGTAAATATATAAGTTCTTTAAATAACTCCCAAGATGATAACACCGAATTTGGAAACAAAATGGCTTGATACATAATTCCAAAACTAAATACGAACAGAGCAAACAGTGAGATGAAAAATGCAAGGTCTTCAAGCTGAAAAAAAAACAACACGAAAAATATTATTGGGAACACAAAATTTTAAATGGTTGTTTGAAAATATATCATAGAAACAATATGCAGAATTCAAACAAAAAGCTTATATGATTGTTTAACAATTGAACAATTGAAAATAGTTTTTAATTTCATTTCTTTTTATTTTCAATTTTTTTTTTATTTATTATAGTCTTAGATTATCAACATTCCTATTTTTTAACTTTCACAATATATTCTAAAGTATTGCAATTTTGAAATTCGTTTCAAAATTTGATACTTAGATATTTAACAGAACTTAAAAAATACTAAACTAAAAGTTTTTTGAAAGTTTGATTTGTTGATTAAAAATGTGGGTTCCTGTAAAGTAAACATAATTAAAAACTCATCTTAGATTATTCAGATTATATATTGTCTTGATTTCAAGTCGTATTATCTGTACTCCATGCATTCGACAATAGACAATCCCCGTTTCCTTTCTCAATTTTATCAGTGAATATACAATTTTGATTTGACCCTACTATACAGTTGAGTACAGACCAAGCATTACATGAAAACGCGCGGCAAAGGTTAGCATAGAATTTACTCAAGTGCATTTCATATAAAAGCCGCGTAAATTATGTGCGAACTTCAAAATTTTAGTAGACATAAATAGTAACATTTACTTTCACGTCTATTTCGGCGTTAACATGAAAAGGTCTTTTTCTTGTACAAAACTAACGCACGTTTACTATTGCATGATAGGTTACACTAATGACTGGAACAATGGCAGGAAAACGACAGGACAGTAACACGACCATAATGAAAATGCTAATTACTTTTTTTATTTTATAGAATTTATATCAAATTCTAAAGACCATAGTTTTTATCAATTAATATTTGAATATAAGGAAAACAAATATTTTCAAAGCTTCCAAAAACGTAATCTCAGCAACGTTGACAATGACAAGACAAACTAAAAATGCTAATCATATATTTGTTTTACAAAGGATTCCTCTCAAATTTGAAAGATGAAAGGCTTGATAATTGAGATATGTTCATATCTCAAAATGGATTGTAATTCTCAAAAGTGAAGAGATATGATTATACAATGTGTTGTACTAGTCCTATTTCTAACATAGAATCTAAAGAGGTTATAAAGTTATATGTGTATGGATTGCAAGTCCTTACTATTTTGTCAACACATTTGAGTGAAATACATTGGTAATTTACCCGGCAATTTGGAAGTTAGTACTTCATTATTATTTTTTTTTTTTTGTTTTTTTTTTTGCTTTTGTTATATTATCAGTGTCGGCAAGAATAAGCATTGTTTTACATGTTTTACGTCTTACAAAGCTGTGAAGAAGAAACGATATTTTTAATATGCGGTTATTGGTATTTTTGAATGAGACTTATTTGTTTTTATGAGAAATAGATAATAACGATTATAAACAAATCGTGTACCATGACCCAGAACGTACTGTCGTTACACTGTTAAAGACAGATTGAATATGTTTGTTAAAAGCTGTTTAATTGATAATACATAATAAATCGCACAGTCTTTGCTACTGACAGAACAGCAATACATGCAATACATTCAACTTACCATTTTCCCAATCATAACAACTTTCGGTCCAATTTCTTTTGTGACGAAAAAGAAATGCATGCTCCTTAAAATGAACATTGCTAATGTGACTACATACGTCATTCTTGCAAAGTAAAAGTCCTCCGAACTCAGCACTACTCGTAGAATAACAGACACAAAAAATAGGAGGTACATTAAAAGGTCAAATATATTCCATACATCTTTAGCCCAAAACTTAATGTTTTTTGAAAATGAACCCTTGTCGGTCTGTAACATCTGCAAATATAATTGTGAATTTGATTTTAGAATGGTTGAATCTCACGTCTTTACAAATATATGTCATATGCATTCATTCGTAGGGAGAGTATACAAATGTTATTCCACGCAACAGCTTATATTTAAAACATTGAAAAAAAACAAGGATTCAATTTTTAACTGAGCTCAAAAATGAAAAATATGTCTTCTGGTCATAACATGTATAACGAAGAGTTGCATGACTGGTATTTCTGATGACTTCTGAACACTATACCTTCCAACACATTTGTTGATGAAACTCTAGTCTACCAATATTCGTTGGCTTACAATTGCACACACGGCCACATACACAAATATTTACCATTGACTATTGATTTGACTAAAAAAGACTTAAACATGTTTAACTTTTTTCTTTATAAACTATTTGACATGAATGAAGTCTATTTTTTTTATCAAGTATTATACCGAATATTTGTCTTAACATATTGTTAAAAATGATACATACTTGTCTTAGTTCCTCAACTGCGAGTGACGCAGCCCAAATCCAGGTAACATATTCAAAAATTGATGGTGAACGTTCTGATAGAGGGTACAAATCCGTCAACACAAATAGTGAAAATATTACCAAAAATGTGAGGTATGTAATCTAAAGAAAAATGACACAATGATCAGTTGAAACTAGATTGATATCCAACCACTAATTATATCATAGCAATCACACCTATAACTCGTAATGCAATGATTTACCTTTTTTAATGTTCTAAACGATGTTTGGATATCTAGGTACAAATATAAAATGTTTATGTGAACAAAAGTTCGATAACCTTTTGAAGCACACATCATTCGTAACGTCTCTTGTAAAAAGTAACTTGAAAAAAAAAATTTAAATTAAAATTTAACCAAAGTCTGCATTAAATGTTATCATTGTCCTCCTAAAATAACAACAAACACTATAGCAGGTTGTTATAGATGATGACTTCGTTATCGGTTGGTTGGAACCATGCTGAATATTACATATATGTGCGCTCTAAATTTTTGAAAAATTGAAATAAGAAATAATAAAACTTTGCTGTTAATTGAAAACCAAAATATCATGCACATAAAAAATTATAAAACTCTTTCAATTTGTTTGTTTACTCAATAGTCCTTAACTTGTCATTATTAAAATAAATACTTATTTTCTATATCTTAGAAATCAATTTCACAAGGTTTTAATGCAATTACCTCCATAGTTAGAAATGAAACATCATATAATTGCATTCTGTAGTGCACTAAACCGTATCTTTCCTTTTGATTTTAACATGACGTAGGTTGCCAATAAATTCAAACAAATTTCCAAACTGAAGTTTATTCAAAAGTAATACATGACAGATATTTAACATGTTTAAAAAAGCTAGTATATGTTGTAAATTCTTAAATTTTCAAAAAAATTAATAAAAAAAAACAAAAAAAAGGTGATACCAATAAATGTTTACTGCAGGTTTTCCTGAAACATTTGCATTGATGCCATTTTCTATTCATTCATCTGATTCTATGCATTTATGATTTTGACATGTATTTGCAATTTCTGTGTCATATTTTTCATTATGCTTAATTCTTAACTCGTTAATCATAATCATTAAGTCCTATTTTAAATGTATTCATTTTAAATAGTGTGATTCAAGTAAAAATAGAAGCAAACAGGTAGGCGTTTACACAATTACCTTCAAATTTATCGTGCAAACGTTTTTTAAAAGCAAATCAGTTAAAGTTATTGAGATTTTAATGTTATTCAATTTTGTTAAATTGCAATCATGCAATGTAGAAAGATATGTTGACAATTTTAAATATTTGAACCGCATACATAAACGAACATATTATTATAAGTCAATGAAAGAAATGTTCGTTCAATCTATCAGTGTGTTTTATATTTGATTGGACATGTTGGATGTAATTTATAAATTTCAAGATAAACTGTTTAAAACTTACTTGCATAATTTCAGTAAGGCACGATAATTCTTTTTTTTTTTTTTGGGGGGGGGGGGGGGGTTTAAAACATCTTAATTATTGGTCTAGTACATATGAGCTTATTATTGACACCTGTATTATGTTTGCTAGATATTCTGGTATAGTTATCAAGCTGTTGAATATCTGGTAAGTAATATGTTTATATGATATCTATCATATATGAAAATCATTGGTTTCATAATTGACAGATTTATCTCTTCAAAATGTAGAAAGAGGGGCATTTACAGACAAGTTATCACCTACAATAACGAATCCATTGATTCAAAACATAACCGCAAATTGCCATTCCGCGGTTCTCATATGAAGTGTTTATAAAGTGCATGTACTTTTGTGACATATTCATTACTAAATTTAATAGCACTTTTCACTCGACAAAGCGATTGTGATCGTTTATCATTGAAGGGTAAATAATGTTCTCAGAAATTAGTATGTCTGCTCCTGGAGTCGATAGACCTTTTGAATTCATACCTGAGTAATTAATGGCGTATGTTAGAACATTAGTTTCAACTAGCTTACATATAGAGAACCTGCTCTGTGTGTCAATAACCTACATATTGCGTTTTGACTGCCGACTATCAAAATAGTATTAACAATCGATAGATGTAATGATTTTAGAATGAATAGCTCAAAACGCAGATGATGAAGGAAATGTCCTACTTCGCTAATCAAATTCACTAGTTTGAAGGCAACACAAACAAGTATTACAGGACGCATGGTTGATTTGATTGGTAAATTTAAATCTAAATGTAATGATATAGGTGGTGTTATGAAGGAATTTAAATATTTGTATACTTAGATTACATCTGATTGACGTACCATTGTATGCAAAAGATATATTTAAAATTTAATTGAATTTTTATTAGGGTTTAAATTTATCCGAATACAGAAATAATACATAAAGAAAACCTTACCATGTAAAAGAAGAATTTGACTATGGGCGCAGTGTAAAACTGGAAAAATTTATTCGAAATTCGTTTTTCGGCTTTCTTTTCTTCGGCTGACTGACCATCAGTTGTCTCGGAATTGTCTGCAGAAGGTAGAATTTGTCTAGGGTTGTTTTTAAAAGAAATGAATCCTAGATTTGGAATCAACAACAAAGGAAGAAATACTGTCATTCCAATCTACAAAGTAATACAAATTTGTCTACTAAACGCAAACACAAAATGTATACGAATGTTAACAGAATAGAACAGTTGATTTTTACAGTTTTGCTCCAGTGCTATCGGTGAACTTCGTCTGTATGAAAGTATAATTTGCATACTATCTTAATCGTAAAAAATGCAGAAATTGTAAATGTAGATCTAATGGGTATTTACTAAAGATTATATATTCACTCTTTACCAAAATGTATCTATTTTTAATGTAATAGAAAGTGCCAAGTCACAGAGAGTGTTTAACATGTTTAAAGCTTCTTTTTTTGCAAGACTGTCAGATAGTATTAGGTTCATACTCAGTGCTTCTGTACTGACATGATTTATAACATATAACTATTTAAAATTCCACGTTCATAAAGTACGAAATCACCAAATCACTACGATTCCTAATCCCTTAGGCAAAAGTTCACAACTTATGCATTTGACAATTTTGTTAAGAAACTTTTTTTGGCATATTGCCATTAATATTGCGTAGCATCCCTGTCTTTCAAATATATAGGCTTGAATGTTCCTTGTGAATCGATCAAAACGCCACGGTGGCCCGAATTTTTTTTCTCTTATCTAAACGATACGTTTCATAAAAAAATGAACTTTCTGTATTATATAACACACTTTTAGTACAAATCAATTCAGATTATATATGGGTATATTTAGGTTTCAGCCAGTTTCAAACGTTTGAGTTTCAGCCTAGTTCCAAACATTTGGTTTAAAACATGCATCATACTGAAAGGGTTTTGTTAAACTGTTTTAATTTACCAGTATCGGGTTAAGTTGGTATGTGTTGAAATTCATTTTATGTAGTATTTGTGTTATGTTTGGTAGTATATAGCATAAACCGTTTGACTTTAGACATTTTGAATTGCTCTTCAAATCCCAGAAATTGGTATGAACCCGAGGATAAACCTATCCAAACGTCCCCGCCCGGTTACACGTTACAGTAACATTAAAACGTTTAATACCGCTGCAATTGTTTGCACCTGTCCTAAGTCGGGAATCTAATGTTCAGTGGTTGTCGTCTGTTTATGTGGTTCATAAGTGTTTCTCGTTTCTCGTTTTTTATAAAGATTAGACTGTTGGTTTTCCCGTTTGAATGGTTTTACACTAGTAATTTATGGGGCCCGTTATAGCTTGCTGTTTGGTGTGAGCCAAGGCTCTGTGTTGAAGACCGTACCTTGACCTTTAATGGTTTACTTTTATATATTATGACTTGGATGAAGAATTGTCTCATTGGCACTCATACCATAACTTCCTACATATATATCTTTATATGTACTAAAAAAATGCAACTACAATATCTGGCATAACTGATATGATTCAGGTAGACTGTCTTTCAGATTAGCACATTTGCGCATATTTATTATAATTTTGTCAAACAAGAGTTGTCTGTCTTGCAACATTTCAAAATACCATTCAAGCTAAAAAAAATTAACGCAACAGTGACAGAATATTTCGTTTAAAGGTCCAGTGTTTGACAAGAGGTCGCAAAATCCCTAGACACTGTCACTATTTGTCTTCAAGTCGCGTTTGAATTTTTTGTACTTTTGTTTTCCAAATTACGTGAATATTATATTGGTTGTTGGTATATGAGTTAATGTTGATTTAGCCCTTTTCTTATTTGGAAAGAGTTTTGTAATAACGGGCTGTCTAAAGCATATTTTTTGGTACTTATTTTGATTTTTGAAAAAGGCAATTAATAATTGCTTGTTTCCAACCAAAGACCAATCGACGCCGTAGTTAACAGCAATAGGAACCGTGCGGCGTTCAACAATGTGCATAACACTAACCACATACATGTAATTATGAATGAAAGGCCATGAATTGTAAAAAGTAAGAAAAACCAATTCAAACAAGAGAACTAACGGTCTAGTTTATATCAATGTACAAAACTATAATCGAAATACAAATATGATATACAGCAACAAACAAACAACCTGACTTGAGACAGACACATACATAACGTGAGAGGCTTTACACTCGAAAAGTATTGTATACGTCATTAATTGCGATAAATACGACAAAATCAAACAAAAACTTAGCAGAAGTCAACGAAAATCACACATTCGTCGATAGATGTAAATTTATCAATAGAAAGCGTTTCGATTTCGTGGGTCTTCCTTATATATACTTTTAGTGTTTGACATTTCATTATTTTGTATAATCTTTTTCAATGCATGTTCTAAAAACAGTTTGAATTTTCCCTGTTTGGTATGAAAGCATTGTTACATCATTTTTGTTTCATTAACATGCAAACGTTTACAAGTATTTCATGCATAATTGAATAAACAAAATAATAAATGAATGGACTTTGTCTAACGACATTTTTTTTTTTGGACAAATTGAGCGAAAATATTGTTTTGTAATAGGTTCAATTAACAATATATACCCTCCATGATTGTGTGTGGAGTGCAATATCTCCTCTCCAGATGCTGTTGAGCTTTGCTTGGCAGGCTGTTATGGCCATGAATGTTCTCAACTTTTGTGACCAAGCCATCGCTATTGGTGTACAACTATATCGATCCACTGTGGTAACCAGTGTTTTAAGAGCCTTTGTTCGATCAGTTTTATACAATTCTGTCATGACACTACAAGCTAGTATTTCAAAGTATCTAAAATTTACAAGCAGGCTTTTAGTATAATAAATCTTCAGTTACTCCTTTTTCCTTTTGAGATAATTCATTTAAATTGGCTTTAATTCAGAAATATGTGTCCCTAATGCATCCCGTCATTTTGTAATTGTGCTATTGTAAATTTTTGTATTCTTGTCTTTGATTTTTGATTATATGCTTTGTCAATATGCCTTTTAGTGGTTATTTGTAACATATTTGTTTGTTTTATAGTGATTAAGATTAAAACACAATGTTGACGGTTGTACCCCTATTTTTGACATGTTTTTCTAGTATATAGATATAAGAAGACGTGGTATGAGTGCCAATGAGACAACTCTCCATCCAAGTCGCAATTTATAAAAGTAGACCATTATGGGTCATAGTACGGTCTCCAACACGGAGCGTTGCCCAACACCAAACAGCAAGCTATAAAGGGTCCTAAGAAATATAAGGGTAAATCCATTCAAACTGGAAAACCAAAGGTCTAATCTATATAAAATAACGAGAAACCAGAAATACTTATGAACCACATCAGCAAACAACAACTACTGAACATCAGATTCCTGACTTAGGACAGGTGCAAACAATTGCAGCGTTTTAAACGTTTCAATTGTACCAAACTTCCATTCTTATCTGAAACAATAGTGTAACATCACAACATAGAAAGACACAATAGAAGATCAATTGAAATGGCTTCACTAAATAAAAAGACATATTAACACAAGTGAACATACACTGAACGACAAAAATTGACATATGATGCAATGTAAATACAAAATCAATAAAATAAGGGATGAATAATTTGAGTAACAGTATAATACCGATGTGGAATGCTAAACAATTTCAGAAAAACAAAAATAACCTTGAATAAAAATCCGCCATTTACAAAAATATTATAAACAGGTAAATAAAAATATTATGTCTGCTTGTTTTGTTCATACATCGTTGTCAATATAATTGAATTTGATGCGACTGTCATACAAGTGAGAGGTTAAGCTAGTAATAATCCGCCATGTTCTACATACGAAAATGGCCGTACCAAGTCAGGAATATGACAGTTGTTTCCATTTGTTTGATTGGTTTGAGCTTTTGACCTTGCCATTTGAATTTTCCTCGGAGTTCAGTATTTTAGTTATTTTACTTTTTATGCGAACTTTGATTATCGCTTTATTTTAGTTCGTTAAACATTGATTGCGTATATTGGAAACATTTTACGAAGATATTTAGTCGAGTTTTCAAGAAAAAGATATTTAGTTCACTTGCAATTGCACTTGGCAAATTTTCTGGAACATTATCTGCTATCATTAAACAATTTATAATGTAGTAAGTTTACAGAAGCATGGACACAATACTCTACAATACAAATTGCGTGCGTCCGGAGCGCTTTTCTATATTTCTCTTCGTTAGTTTTATTACACGGCTTTATATATGAATAAACATAACAATCTTTCTCATCTGCTTTAACTTTTTCCCTTTTTTCTACAGACTTTTAATTGCAATCAGTATTGATGTTACTATTAAGCATACTTAGCATTTTCGAGTAATGACGTTCTAAGCTCCATGTTATTAGAAACGTATGCAACATCAGCCAATTTATTCAGCACTGCACTGGCAAATAAAGCAGAACCTGAAATGAAAATAGCATTATTTTGAATATTTTACCTCATGAACTACAATGTGGATGAGGTGGGAAAAGTTTAAGAAAGCAAAGTATACTCGACTTGATTATCTCTTTATATAGTTTACATCGTTTGATTAAAACATATCTTCAATAGTCTTGCATTCTCAAAGACTGACACGCACAACCTGAGAACACACCATATATCAATCAACTGTAATTTACAATTTTTAATTTCATACCGAAGTAGTAATATTTTTCTTCGCGCATTTATAAACATCCGGGGGCATTTTGACATTTACAAAATTAGTTTGTCTTCTTTTATGACTCTTAGTTCTAAGCAGCAAAACTTTTGCTACCTTCGACAATATATCATATGCATATAAGTTATAAACAGTTGTACTATTACAGAATTATGAATATTAGAGCAGTATTATAAGTAGTATTATGCCTAGAAAGAACCAAATATTATGAAATTTAGCAAAAGAACTTTGTGATGAAAAGATTGTTTGGTAACGAACGAAAAGGCATATTATTCACAAAAAAGGTTCTAGTGAACATCTACACGTTCTATTCATATAAAATCAAAACGTAAACTATTTAGAACAATGTTTACTTTGATAAATGGGTATTTGCTGGCTTATGCTATTTATTGGGAAATGTAGAAATAGTCTTCTCTCGCACGAAATAATAAAAAGAAATGAATAGACTACTAGTGTCGTCTTCAACTACCACTATGTCACTAATATAAATTTTCTCCGATGGTTATTTTCAGTAGCCAATACATCAGAACAATGAAACAAGTACTGACTCGAGATCATCGACTTGTTTGAACAAGTCGGAATTAAATTTCTCTCAAGGTTCACATTTTGATACACAAGAAAATAACTATTATTAACTATAATATGCCTTTATACATGTTTACATGATTATCAACGTGTATCGCAATCGGGTCTTTCAATTATCTTGATTGAAGGCTACCGTACTTTAATAGTTTAATAGTAATGTAATTTTGCAGGCCATTATAATTTAATCAATTGGAACGCAAACAAAAATGTCAAGTTAAACTTATATACATGTAGTTGACCACTTGATCGAATTACCAGAAACATGTCTTACATTATACAAACAAAAATGTGTTGATGTTAGCGTCAAATCCCCCGAAACATCTTTTTGTTTGTATAATGCATTGTATAACATTGACAAAAGATGTTTTGAAACGTCAAATTTGAACAAAAACAATCACATCAAGAAGACCTTTACAAATTGTAAATCTTCTACTATGGATACTCACATTAATTAGTTATATTATGGGGTTAACCAGCACAACGCTAATGAATTTTAGGCAAAAACGGTATTTTTGTTTTTATCTTAACAGGATGTTAAATGTCTGCAAAAATAACAAATCAGTAATTTTCAGCTTGTATTCAAATTTCAGACTTATCTACTGCTGTTAATGCAGTACTGTTCAAACAATTCAATTACAGTCTATTCGGTACTATCCAGTCGCATTTAAGACAATTCTGTATGGTTAAGTGTGTACGTTTTAGTGTGCTACTTGATAGTATAAACTAAACTGATTGCAAGAAAAATGTCTTAACAGTACTAAAGTGTTCGCAGTAATTTACAAAAAAATGAAAATGAAAAATATTGAAGTTCTAATTATGGCACCCTCAACGGAATTAGGGTTCTATTTTGTTATTATATGATTCTTTTTCTTTGTTGTAAGTCTTTCACATATCTTGTTCAGCTTAAATCTCGAAATGTATTGTTCCAATGCTGAGGGAACTACGCCATGTGGAACACCCTCTGAAGCTGTGCATCTGACTTTGTGATGTGCAACGATGAAAATTAAAAATTATTTAAAGAAAAGATATTAATTGTCATATACAGATACAAATCAACAGGAAAAAATTGAAAACTCTTCAATAGATCTCAAAATTTGCAGACATATGTGTTGCGATGCACGCAAAGTTCAAAGTTGATGCCGTTATAGTGGCAATTAATGGGTCTCATCCATTATTGCTTGCAATGACAAATCTGTGTTTGTTTTATTATTTTATTTAAATCGTAAGATGATGGTCTGCTAGCAAAGTCTGATTTTTTGTTTATTAGAATTATATATTTTGTAAAAGGCCGATTCATCTAATAATTCATTTGCCCTGGCTTTATATACATATAATTACATTACATGTATGTTTCATTATGATACGTTATTTTGATTTTAATCTCGCGTCATTGTGAAATTTACCTTAATTTCAAAACGAAATTTTTCATTCATGATGACACCAGCTTGCACAATAAAGTGCACAGGCAAATAAATTAAAAACTCGAAAGGACAATGTCATTATCCCAGCAAAACAATGCAAGTATTGAATGCTTCTTTTAGTAATTTAACAGATTTATAAAAGCGTTAACCGTGCTTACATTTTTAGAATGAAGCGCTTCCGCGCTTCGTGCAAAAAAATAATTTGGTTAACGCGTTTACACCCCAATGGATTAACAGAAAGAAGCATTCAATAATCAAATACGTACGAAACAACCTACATGTATAGTCGGTGTCTTTTTCTAAGAAAATCATAGCCATGTCTTTCCAGTTCATCAGAACCGCCCATACAAAAAGGTGATAGAACGGTTTTTCGATATAATATATATATAATGTATTTTCTGGTGTCCCTTTCTTTTTTCCATCTGTGTCTGGTTTGGCTTTTGTTTCTTTAAAAAAGAACAGTTTGTATAAAACAATACGTACAATGATTCATCACTAGTCAATTTAAAACTGGTGTTCTGAAATATGACCACTGCTAATAATTGCGGTCAGAATATCTTAATTTTTTTGTTTTTAAATAAGTGTGTGTTTTGCCACACCTAGGACTTGGACATATCAACGTGTTTTACAGATTTGGGAAGATACGTTTTCAGTTTTAGTGAATTCATTTATTTTAAACTCAAATAGCAAAGCTTGCTAAATAAAAAAAAGTTTCAAAAATATTTCAACAAAGAGCTTCGGGTGCACGATATATAAAGTGTGTTTGTTTGACATCCTTAAATGTTTTACGAAGAAGCCTGTTGATTTCCGAATGCGTTGTAGCAATTTTTATTTATTATCACTGATGTTATGTTAGTTATATTGCAGAGTAATTCACCCATTTCGAAGTCTTTAATCTTTACAAAACAAACAGCGTTTGAACAATATACATGCTTACCAGTAAGATCAAACATTCTGCAGTTGGTATCTCCTATCACATCCCTGACGAAAAGTTCTATTTCAAAAAGTATTTTGTATTCTTCATTGACATCTGTGTTTTTATGTGTGTCACTCCATTCCTAATAACGTTAAAGAAAATTATAAAGAAACTGAAAATAATTGCCTCAATTTTTCTGTCCTTTTCGTCCCAGTTGATTTGTTTGTGTAATTGACACTAAAAATTCATTATGTTTTATTTAACTTACAATATCTTTATATGTCATAAAATGCTGTTATATCAATTATTTATCCGTTACTTGCAGGAAGCACAACTGCATGCTAAAAATTCAAACATGTTTAGTTTGACTAATTGCAAGTCATTATCCCCAAATAAAAGATACCACATTTGTTTTGATCAATAAGTATGTTATATGTTTTATAAAGAACACAAAATTACCTGTACAATAAGATTAATTGCTAGCTCTTCTTGGTCTTGTATGCACTGAAAAAAATATATACATATGTAAGACTCTAAAGTGCGATGGTACTCTAAAATGCGATGGTCACGCTAAAGTGCGATGGTCTACGATAAGTTTGCGATGGTGTCAGACGCTTAAGTCCGATGGTTTTAAGTTTTAAGTGGAATCAGCTGACACGGTAAAGTACGATGGTCTGACAAACTGAATTGCTATGGTATAAGAAACGCTGTAGGCGATGATATAATAATCTTAAGTGCGCTGGGGTGCAGCAATGGTTTTTTTGTTGTTGTGTGTCTATTGGTTTTTTGTCTATTGTTTTGTCTATCAATCATGCCGTTGTCTTTCTATTTTGAATTGTTTTACACTTGTCTAGTCATTGTGTTATCCTATATAGCTTGACTATGCGGCACGGACATAGGCTCCAGTTTGAAAGTAGTAAGTTTACTAGGTACATACCTCAACCACATTGGTGGTTAGATTTTTCATCAAAATCTATATTACATCCTCCTATTTTTTAATCTTATTGTTTTGTATATAGATTAGTTTGTTATTTTTCTCGTTTTAACAGTTTCACACAGGTCGTATTAATACTTTTCCTTTGTTCTGTATAGAGTACAATCTACGGGGTCAGCCAAGTGGTCACGTTAAAAACATATGATAACCTATAGTTGATTACATTAATGACATTAAGTCTTAGATAGAAACCTGTCTTTGGCAATGGTTTTACACTAGTCATGGTCGGGGCTCTTTATAGCTTGCTGTACGATGTGAGCCAAGGCTCCGTGTTGAAGACCGTACTTTGACATATAATGGTCTACTTTTACAGATTGTGACTTAAATTGATAGTTGTATCATTGGCACTCGTAACACATCTTCTTATATCTAATGACGAATCAAAGTTTAAAAAAACATATTTTAACAAATAATATAAGTAGAAAGTAAAAAAAGTAGCTTGTATTTAGCAAGTAAATGACATGGAATTACAAACATATAGAAGGAGTTTCTTAATCAAATTTGGAGAAATAAAATACTTTGACACTTGATGCATTTTGCCGTTTTTATGCTCTTTTACGCTTGGATCAAATGTTTTCATTTTTGTTACTGTGGATTATTGTTTGGGGAAATAACTCTTCCTGTACAAACTATTTTAGCAATGACCTAACAAAAATCCTCATTGGGATTATTTGTTTCTATATTATTCCTTTTCTAATCTAATCAAGTTAACAAACTTCAAATGCACACACATAATCGTGTGTACACATGGCTTGTAAAGTTATAGTGCTTTTTAATGCTGCAAACGACCACACTTTCGCGGGAAAGCGCACTTTAGCGTATTGACACATCGGACTTTAACGTGTCGAAATTTAAGGATTTGAAAAAATCAAAATTGAAAAAAATTTTACAGCTTAGAAAAAATGTAGAAAAAATTTAAACTGAATGTTTTTTTCGTTTCTTTTACGCTTCGAATTAGAAAAAAGGTCTCTGTAAAATGCTTGAAATTTTGTAGTACATGTTGTTTCATTTTCAACTACTTTGCATAAACCAAACAACTATGGCTTTCACCAAATCAATTTGACGGACCATTCCTTAGTTACAGCCCTTGGATGGCGTAAACACGTGTATGATGTATTGATGTATGGCAAATGTTGCAATGATAGAAGGTGTATGGTGTATGGTGTATGGTGTAAGGGGAATGGTGTAATGGTGTATGAGGAATGGTGTGATTGTGTAACGTGCGATCGGGAATGGTGTGAATGAATGGTGTACGACATTTCATTGGTTAAAACCGAAGTTCGTTCTATTTTAATTTTTCGGGTTGTAAACATAAGCAATAATAATAATATTTTTTTTCCAGTATAGCAAATTACTTTACTCGTTAGACTCTATGTTATAGATATTATACACATTAAAAAAATCTTTTTTTCATATTCTTTTGTACCTTAAACAATGTCTACTAATTACACACGTGTGATCACATGCAGCTACATGTATCATAAAAGAAAGGATTTTTTTTAACTAGAAGGCGAATAGAAAGGTTATCCACGCATCGGAACAATATTTGTATATCTTGGGATATCAACATCATTTGTAACTTTGCTTCGTTTCCCATTTTTTTGACAGTCTCTTCTTAAATTTAACTCATAGAAATTGCATCGCAATTCACCTTGTTGGCCTTGGATTTACGATTGTACAGTGTTAGTGTACATAAGATATTGTATAATTATGAACAATCTCGTCAATTTCGTCAGATTTGTCTTTACGGATTATAAAGGATATTTTCCAGACGTCCGAAAAAATATGGCAGTGGCTATTTTGCCGGTCTTATTTCAGATTTTCAATCAAGACTTTATGAAATATATTTTTAGGGGAACTATTTATGCACAAATGATATATGTGGCTAGATGTCAATAACCTTTTTGTTCGCCTTGCCTTCCTAGTCATTCAATTTTAGTAAGCTGCATTCATTTAATTACATGTACATACGTTAATTTCTGTTAAACATTGGACGTTCAAAAATGAAAAACAACAAATTTGTTATCAAACAAACTCGATTTTGATTGATATGAAGATCTACAGCAGGTGTTGGAGTACTTTGAAACGTGAAACGAGGACTATAAAATTCATGAAAACCAGACAAAACTTCAATATAATCTATAGTCTACGGTGCAATAAAATATTATAAGATTGATAAAAAATATTGTACACACGATGCACAGAAATCTAGCTATTGACAGCATTTATTCTATGAATGTTGAATATTGAAATGTAGATATGTATCTGCAAATTTTGCAAAAGTGACGCAGACGCTAAAGAAACAGGCCAAGCTCTGTTCTTTACCTATTAATAAATTAAATGAAATTTTAGAGGATTGCAAAACAGTTTCATATTGCAGTCCTAAGTATGAAATCGTTCAAATTATAATGGCATATTGTTATTCTAAACTGTTTCCCAAAATTGATCGCTCTGAAGATCATAAAAAAACATTTTATTAAAATAAAGTATGTCAATAAAGGTTTTGATTTTGTAAATATTGCCGGTATTTTTAACGACCATTCTGTTAAAGAACAAATTCCTGGATATTTTGATAATACTGAACTCCCTCTTATTTGTTATATTTACAAGAAATCTACCCGAAAATTTGTGTTTAATTATAGCCAAGTCTGTAAAGATGTAAATATCAGTGAAAATACACCTCCGTCATGTAATTGTATTAATTCCGAATACACTTATGGCCCCATTTCCTATGTTATAACAGGAGACCTTTACATCGTTTGCGACCGAGAGTTAAAATCATTCCTCAGTAAAGGACCTAAATATCGTCCCCCGTCAATTATTAATTGGAATGAGTGTCGTAATATCATTCACGACTCACTTCGTGCTTACTGTTTGAAATGGATAAAACAGGAAAAAGCTGACAAAAAATCTTTGGACCCTTTTTTTAATTCAGTAATGAAGATAGTTGATATACAACATTTTAAAGAACATTTTACTCTTAACAACAACCATAAAAATCCTATCTCTCGTATCAAACATAAACTAAAAGAACTAGCCAAGGAATTTATTTTTGTCCCGGCTGATAAAGCTGCTAATAATATCATTATAGTTTGACGTAAATTTTACATTGAGGTTCTGCAAAAGGAAATCACAAATTCACCAACATTCCAACTGACTTCATTTTCAGAAAACGATATCTGTAACAAACACAAACTATTGGCTACTTCTTTACAAGCAGAACCAAATACAATGAAAGTCCCAACTATGTACTGGCTTCCGAAGCTACACAAATCACCTTACAGATATAGATTTATTTCGTCTTCAAGTCATTGTTCCACTACTAAATTGTCTATTCTACTTACTAGTACACTTGGTACAATCTAAAACCTGATAATAAATTGTTCAAATAAGGCCTTTGAAAATAGTGGAATTAACTACTTTTGGAGTGTCAAAAACTCGTTGGAAGTAATTGATTAATTGCAAGCATATATTGGTGATTTTGAATCTGTTCAAAGTTTTGATTTTTCTACCCTATATACCACTTTGCCTCATATTCTTATCAAGAAAAACTTCACACACCTAATTAAATGGGCATTTAAAAAGTCGGAATGCGAATACATATGTTCAAACTCTTTTAGGTCATTTTTTAGTAGCAACAAACAAAAGAGCTATGTCAATTGGACATGCTTTGATACTATATCTGCCCTTGAATTTTTACTTGATAACAATTTTGTTCGCTTGCGAGATTCCGTATATCGTCAAGTTATCGGAATTCCAATGGGGACTAACTGTGCACCACGTATTGCGGACCTGTTTTTGTATTGTTATGAGTTACAATTTATGACTAAAATCAGCAAAGACCCATCGAAACAACATCTGATACAAAAGTTTAACAATACTTTTAGATATTTGGATGATACATTGGCTCTCAATAATGACAACTTCAGTATGTATACTAAAGAAATTTATCCTGTCGAACTTACTTGAAATAAAGCTAATACTAACAATGACCACTGTCCTTTCCTCGATCTTGATATCTATATCTTTAACGGGAAGCTTAATACAAAAATTTATGATAAAAGAGATGATTTTTCATTTCCTATCGTTAACTATCCATGTTTAGATGGTGACGTTCCCTTGTCACCATCTTATGGTGTTTATATATCTCAACTTGTACGATTTGCTCGTGTATGTAACAACGTATTATATTTTAGCGAGAGAAATTTATATATTACTGAAAAATTATTACACCAGGGTTTTCGATATCATAAACTAGTCAAAACATTTACTAAATTTTATCATCGGTATAAGGACATCATTCGTAAATATAACTCAACATGCAGACTACTCATACGTTCGGGTATTTCACATCCAATCTTTTATGGTAATATTCTTTACAAAGCACAAAAATGTCAGTATTCACCTCAAAAGCTAGCAAAACCTTTAAATAGACTTATTAAGAAGGGATATAGTTACGATACTGTTGTCAGGTCATTAAAGATTGCATATTTTGACTTTAATATTGGTT